TCCAGTTGAGAAAACCGAGGCGCAGGCAGATTATGAAATATCCCCTACGCCTCTTTCCAGCCACGACCCCAGTTCTGAAGAGCTCCTTTCCAGAATGTACTGTCAGAATGCTATGCTACTGCCGGCACATCTGTGAATGATTGCTCTTGCAACTTGTGAATGATACAAACAGGTCTCAGACGAAAGGTGCTCAGAACTCGACAGCATAAACTTTATCAGTATAAACTCTCATTTTTTTTTCTTGGCATTTCATTCATTTGTCGACTGTGGGGCTTGAACTCTGGGCCTGGGCGCTGTCCCTCAGCTCTTCAGCTCAAGGCTGGCGCTCTACCACGTGAGCCACAGCGCCACTTCTGGTTTTCTGAGTGGTTCATGGGAGATCAGAGTCTCACGGACTTTCCTGCCCAGGCTGGCCTTGAACCGCGATCCTCACATCTCAGCCTCCCGAGTCGCTGGGATGACAGGCGGGAGCCACCGGCGCTCTGTCAAGAGGTCTTGTTTTTTCCCACACTCCAAGTGCATGATAAATGCTGAAGCGATGAGGGAATGAATGAATGAATAAGTGAATGAGTGAGTGATCGGTGCCCGTGCTGGCTTGTTTCCCGTGTCTGTCCTGACCCCAAGTTTCCAGCCCAGAAGCTCCATTGTTGCAGACACAAAACCTCATTGAGTGGAAAGAATGGCCGCGTCTGATCTCATCCGCGTGTTCTGTTTTTCTCTGCAGAGGGAAAACTGTCGCCCGTGTCCAGCGTGGCTTCGGGGTCGCACAGCGACCCCTCAGGAATGTGCCTGGGGACAGCCCTGCCATTAGCTCTCCAGAGCAGATGCCTGGGTGCTTGTGTTCCGGGGGCCACCCGGGTTAGGCGTTGTATTCTCTTTGTGGGTCAAGAAGGGTCCGCGTCTCCGAGTGGGACCTTCCTCCCTATCTCTTACCGTGATTGGATCTTTCCAGAACACTCTGTGGTTCGGTGGGTGCTACTAGCTCACGCCTGTCCTCCTAGCTAACCAGGAGATTAGAAACCACGCCCCCCCCTCCCCCTGGAAGACAGATCTGGGAGACTCTTTATCTTCCCTGGAGCAGCAAAAGGCCGGAAGTGGCGCTGTGGCTCAAGTGGTAGAGCGCCAGCCTTCAGCTGAAGAGCTGAGGGACAGCGCCCAGGCCCTGAGTTCAAGACTCAGGACCGGTTTCCCCCCCCCTCCATCCCCCAAGAAAAAGTGATAGAATTTAAAATGTCAACAAAAGAAATGAGATCAGAATGAAATGATCTCAGATTTCTGAGCAGCCAGAAAACAATGAATGAGGTCTTCACACTTAAAGATAATTAACATCGTAGGGGGTTTCCCGGAATTGGGGAGCCCTTTCGTCATACAAAGGCCCCCCAAAATTGTCCTTTCCACTTTATTTCTCAAGAAGGAACTAGATTAAATGATACACCAAAGAAAGAAAGAAGCACAAAAATACATAAAAGATAAAGGAACCTAAGCAACGGAGTTCAGCAACCAGTGAGAGCAATCGCCAGGGAGCCAGGATAGAATCAACTAGAAGCGACAGGCGGAGAGAAAAGTAGAATCCGCTCATCCATCCATCCATCCATCTATCTATCTATCTATCTATCTATCTATCTATCTATCTATCTATCTATCTATCCATCCATCCATCCATCCATCCATCCATCCATCCATCCATCCATCTATCTACCTACCTACCTACCTACCTACCTATCTATCTATCTATCTATCTAATCTGTCTGTCTGTCTGTCCGTCCATCGTCTGTCCGTCCGTCTATCTATCTATCTATCCATCCTAGTTCTGGGGTTTGAACTCTGGGCCTAGGCTCTGTCCCTATGCTTTGTAGCTCAAGGCTGGTGCTCTACCGCTTGAGCCACAGCTCCACTTCCAGTTTTCTGGTGTTTCATTGGAGATCAGAGTCTCACGGACTTTCCTGCCCGGGCTGGCTCTGAACCCCGATCCTCAGATCTCAGGCTCCTGAGTAGCTGGGATGACAGGTGGGAGCCACCGGCGTGGCTCAGTTGTGCGCGTAGTTAAGGGTTAACCGTAGGTAGCTGTCTTTGAAAGGCAGTGGTGTCCAATACTCCTGACTTTCTCCGTTGTCCGCGTTACTCACGCGTCAGCATTGGCTGTTTTGGACGAAATGCATCATGCGTCTGGTTTTCGGTCTCTGATGATCTCATTCACAAACTAAAAGGAAAAGAAGAAACCTAAGCAGCTGGGTTTGATCTCTGCCGTCCCTTCTCCTTGCCCATTTGTCCCTCCTGCCTTCCTTCACTGTCACACGAGTCACTCCGTCTGTGCTCAAAAACATCTTCTTCCTTTCTCAACGCATCTCAGCGTGTGTTTGTGTTTCGGAGCCTACACCTCTGCTTCACTGCTAACTGTTGACTCTTCAAGATGGTATTTTTTCCTGCCACGAAGGGAGACTCACAAAAGGATTTGAGAATTAAACCTTGGGGTGCCGGGCCAGCTACTCAGGAGGCTGAGATCCAGAGGATCGCAGTTCAAAGCTAGCCTGGGCAGGAACATCTGTGAGATTCTGATCTCCAATGAACCACCAGAATACTGACGTGGAGCCGTGGCTCAAGTGGTAGAGCGCCAGCCTTGAGCAGAAAAGGCTCAGGGACAGCTCGCAGGTCCTGAGTTCAAGTCCCATTACTGGTCCAGAACAAAAACTAGCAAATTAAGGAGAGAGGGGGAGGGTTGCGTTTGCCTGTGTTTGCCGCTGTGGATGTGTACACTTTGCATTGGCACGGGATGGCTTTTAGGCAATGTGCACAGCCAACTTGCACGCGCTTCCACCGGGCCTAGAGGAATCCGATAAAGATGAGCGCTCAGGAGAAGTTTCGGCTCACACATCCCTTTGTCTCTTGCAAAGACTGGTTTCCTGGGGTTGGTAGAACACCCCGCCAATGAGCAAACACCTCAGGTGCCCGAGTTCGAATCCCTGTCCCTCCACAACCACAACAGCAGAGGAGAGAGGAAATAACCAATCAGATCATTGGCTCCTTTTAACTGGCGGGTGGACGGGAACAGGATGACAATGACATAAATGTCACTGACCACGTGACACGCTGTTCCGGGAGTAAAGAGAGATCCAGGTGTTTGGAGACAAGCAGGAGGTCGGAGGTCGGAGGCTGTGGGGGAAGGAGGGGGGGGGAGGATGGGTCATGGTGCAAACCAAAACTTCTCTTTTTAACTTTTAAAGTATTTATCTTGACGTATAGTTCATGCATTTATTTACTTCGATATTTGTTTCTATTTATTCACATAGTTAATATATATTTTTAACTTTTAATAGGGTTTTATTTTCTTTCTTCGGACAAAGCGCACCGGATGGTACTCAAGCAGTTATAAATGAATTAACAGAATTATAACTATGGAGAATGCAAGTAGTATAGTTTTTTTTTCTTTTTGGTCGTGGGACTTGAACTCAGGGCCCGGGCGCTGTCCCTGAGCTCTTCAGCTCAAGGCTGGCGCTCTACCACTTGAGCCACAGCGCCACTTCTGGTTTTCTAGTGGTTTGTTAGAGATAAGAGTCTCACCGCACTTTCCTGCCCGGGCTGGCTTTGAACCGTGATCCTCCGATCTCAGCCTCCTGAGTAGCTGGGATGCCAGGCGGGAGCCACCGGCGCTCGGCTCATAGTACAATGCTTGAGGAAGACTTAGGTCAAAGCCCAATGAAATGAGTACTAGGAAATGGGTCGGGAGGAGAAGGCTGGAAGGATGAACAGAGGACATGAATGGAAAGCAGGCTAGCATGCATGGAGATGCACCACGTGTGCGTGTGAGATATGAACCATGGAAGAGAGTCATCATGCCCCGGGAAAATGCAAGGACAAATGCTCCGCCGTGGTCCCATGTCTAGTGGACACTGGAGCTGGGTTCGGTCCCCCAGACGCAGCCCCCGGACAGCATCCAACATGGCGCACCATGCTCAGCAATCATGGCCCGAGCACTGCTGGTTCTGAGTGGCCACGCAGGTGCTTCTCCAGCTGGCCCAGGTCCTCTCCAGCTGCATTGACCCGGCTGGGCTTCCAAGCGTTGGTCTGTGGTCTCGTCCAATGTCCCTTCCTTGGGAGTTAGCCTGCTCTGTCCTGAGCTCATGGAAATCTCCGGTCTCACCCATCTGAGAGTGAGTCAGGAGACGGCTGAGTCTCGGCTCACTCTCTCATAGGCTCCACCTGGATCTGGATGGTCAGATCTGTCCAGATATAAACAAATAGATCTGCAATTGTAATATTTATCTATCTATTTGCCTCTTGAGATTTCAGCTGCAGCTGGGAGCAGATCAGTTGTGGGGCTTGAACTCAGGGCCTGGGCGCTGTCCCTGAGCTCTTCAGCTCAAGGCTGGCGCTCTACCACTTGAGCCACAGCTCCACTGCTGGTTTTCTGGTGGTTTGTTGTAGATCAGAGGCTCACGGACTTACCTCCCGGGGCTGGCTTTGAACCTCAATCGTCAGATCTCAGCCTCCCGAGTAGCTGGGATGACAGGCGGGCGCCATGGGCCCCTGGCCTCCCAGGTTATTAAACAGCAGGTTCCATTTATGCCCAGGAGATAGTCATGGTCTGTGGCTGGCTGGCAGTGAGCGAATAGCCATCACCGTGGAGATGAGTGTGTGTGTGCGTGCGTGTGTGAGTGTGTGTCTGTGTGTGTGTGTGTGAGTGTCTGTGTGCATGTGTGTGTGCATCTGTGTGTGTGTGTCTGTGTGCATGTGTGTGTGCATCTGTGTGTGTGTCTGTGTGCATGTGTGTGTGCATCTGTGTGTGTGAGCGTGTGTGTGCGCGTGTGTGCATCTGTGTGTGTGAGCGTGTGTGCGCGCGTGTGTGTGTGCATCTGTGTGCGCGCGTGTGTGTGTGTGCATCTGTGTGCGTGTGTGCATGCGTGCGTGTGCGTGCGAGGAGGCGGCGCTCAGGCAGCGGTCTCCAGTCATCTGCGGCCCCGCGGCTCTCTTTCTTTCTTTCTTTCTTTCTTTCTCTCCGACAGGAAGCAGATGGAGGAGTGCTGCGACCCCGCGCACCTGTTCGCCATGACCAAGCTCAACTCGCCCATGGGCACGAGCATGTGGTACGACGGCGAGCTCCTCCACTCCTTCACCATCGACAGCTCCACCTACGCCCTCTTCCCCCAGGTCAGTGCCGCCCTGCGCCCTGCGCCCTGCACCTCCCCCCAGCCCCCTCCACCCTGCACCTCCCCCAGCCCCCTCCACCCTCCACCTCCCCCCCAGCCCCCTCCACCCTCCACCTCCCCCCCAGCCCCCTCCCCCCAGCCCCCTTCACCCTGCACCCTCCACCTCCCCCCAGCCCCCTCCACCCTCCACCCTGCACCCTCCACCCTCCACCCTGTGCCCTCCACCTCCCCCCAGCCCCCAGCCCCCTCCACCCTCCACCCTCCACCCTCCACCCTGCACCCTCCACCTCCCCCCAGCCCCCTCCACCCTCCACCCTCCACCTCCCCCCAGCCCCCTCCACCCTCCACCCTCCACTCTGCACCCTCCACCTCCCCCCAGCCCCCTCCACCCTCCACCCTGCACCTCCCCCCAGCCCCTCCACCCTCCACCCTCCACCCTGCACCTCCCCCCAGCCCCCTCCACCCTCCACCCTCCACCCTGCACCCTCCACCTCCCCCCAGCCCCCTCCACCCTCCACCCTGCACCTCCCCCCAGCCCCCTCCACCCTCCACCCTCCACCCTGCACCCTCCACCCTCCACCCTGTGCCCTCCACCTCCCCCCAGCCCCCAGCCCCCTCCACCCTCCACCCTCCACCCTGCACCCTCCACCTCCCCCCAGCCCCCTCCACCCTCCACCCTCCACCCTCCACCTCCCCCCAGCCCCCTCCACCCTCCACCCTCCACTCTGCACCCTCCACCTCCCCCCAGCCCCCTCCACCCTCCACCCTCCACCCTGCACCCTCCACCTCCCCCCAGCCCCCTCCACCCTCCACCCTCCACTCTGCACCTCCCCCCAGCCCCCTCCACCCTCCACCCTCCACTCTGCACCCTCCACCTCCCCCCAGCCCCCTCCACCCTCCACCCTGCACCTCCCCCCAGCCCCTCCACCCTCCACCCTCCACCCTGCACCTCCCCCCAGCCCCCTCCACCCTCCACCCTCCACCCTGCACCCTCCACCTCCCCCCAGCCCCCTCCACCCTCCACCCTGCACCTCCCCCCAGCCCCTCCACCCTCCACCCTCCACCCTGCACCTCCCCCCAGCCCCCTCCACCCTCCACCCTCCACCCTGCACCTCCCCCCAGCCCCCTGCACCCTGCGCCCTCCACCTCCCCCCAGCCCCCTCCACCCTCCACCCTCCACCCTGCACCCTCCACCTCCCCCCAGCCCCCTCCACCCTCCACCCTGCACCTCCCCCCAGCCCCCTCCACCCTCCACCTTCCACCTCCCCCCAGCCCCTCCACCCTCCACCCTCCACCTCCCCCCAGCCCCTCCACCCTCCACCCTCCACTCTGCACCCTCCACCTCCCCCCAGCCCCCTGCACCCTGCACCCTCCACCTCCCCCCAGCCCCCTCCACCCTCCACTCTGCACCCTCCACCTCCCCCCAGCCCCCTCCACCCTCCACCCTCCACCCTCCACCTCCCCCCAGCCCCCTCCACCCTCCACCCTCCACTCTGCACCCTCCACCTCCCCCCAGCCCCCTCCACCCTCCACCCTCCACCCTGCACCCTCCACCTCCCCCCAGCCCCCTCCACCCTCCACCATGCACCTCCCCCCAGCCCCCTCCACCCTCCACCCTCCACTCTGCACCTCCCCCCAGCCCCCTCCACCCTCCACCCTCCACTCTGCACCCTCCACCTCCCCCCAGCCCCCTCCACCCTCCACCCTCCACTCTGCACCTCCCCCCAGCCCCCTCCACCCTCCACCCTCCACTCTGCACCCTCCACCTCCCCCCAGCCCCCTCCACCCTCCACCCTGCACCTCCCCCCAGCCCCCTCCACCCTCCACCCTCCACCCTGCACCTCCCCCCAGCCCCCTGCACCCTGCGCCCTCCACCTCCCCCCAGCCCCCTCCACCCTCCACCCTCCATCCTGCACCCTCCACCTCCCCCCAGCCCCCTCCACCCTCCACCCTGCACCTCCCCCCAGCCCCCTCCACCCTCCACCTTCCACCTCCCCCCAGCCCCTCCACCCTCCACCCTCCACCTCCCCCCAGCCCCTCCACCCTCCACCCTCCACCCTCCACCTCCCCCCAGCTCCCTGCACCCTGCACCCTCCACCTCCCCCCAGCCCCCTCCACCCTCCACCCTGCACCCTCCACCTCCCCCCAGCCCCCTCTACCCTCCACCCTGCACCCTCCACCTCCCCCCAGCCCCCTCCACCCTGCACCCTCCACCATCCACCCCCCCCCCTGCAGCTGAGTGCCACCCGGGGCACCGCCAGCCTCCGCCATCTCTGCCTATTCCAGACACCCAGCAGCCCTTCCTTCCATCCGCTTCCTCCACAGAGTGGGAAATAGCTAGATACACACACAGACATAAACAGCTAAACATACACAGTTACAAATACAGATACATGAGTATATAACATCCCAAACGGTGCAATGTGTGAAATATATAACCATACAATTATAAATGCATGCAATGCAAATACACGAGATCATAAATATATATACAACATATAAACATACACGGTTCTAAATAGATAAAGTATGTAAATATTTAATTATAAGTATTATATAATTATAAATATTTAATTACATATAAAATATACAAATATAGAATTATACACATAAAGTATGTATGATTATAAATATATAAAGTACACAAATATATAAGATTATAAATACATTCAATATATAAATATATAAGATTCTAAATATATGAAATATACAAATATGTAATTATAAGCATATAAGATATACAAATACATAATTATAAATATATAAAATAGATGATTCTAAATATATAAAATATACAAACATACGATTATAAATATATATGCAATATATAAATGTATAAGATTCTAAATATATAAAATATGTAAGTATGTATAAAATAGACAAATATACAATTATAAACATAAAATATGTATGATTCTAAATATATAAAATATACAAATATGTAAGATTCTAAATAGATCTATATGATTCAAAATCTATATAAGTATATAATTACATAATAATAAATATAGATAACATATACAAACAAACTTATAAGTACATATAAAATATACAACTACATGGTTATAACTATATGTAAAATATATATGTATATAGAATTATAAGCACCCATAAAATATACACACACGTGTTTGCATCTATCTTATTTCTAGCTCTATGTTTTTATTTGTCCTTCGGCTGGTCACTGTTTCCGGGGGGGGGGGGGGTCTCCCGCCGTTTTGGAGGGGGGAGGAGGGGAGGTCGTGGGAAGGAGGGGAGCAATCCGGGCATGGCGGGTCTTTGCATGGCTTGGAAGCAAATGGAAGCGGGCTGGGGTGTGTGTGTGTGTGTGTGATATTGTTGGTGTCGGGATGGTTGGGGAGGGCTGGGGGTTCTGGAATGTTCTGGAATGTTCTGGGAATCCACCCTCCTGGGAGCTCTGGGAGGTTTGCCGTGGGAGATGCTTGCTGTGAGAAGGAGGAGCCGATGGGGATGGAGAGGAGGAATGTTCAGTTTGACCATGTCCGAAGCGGTGGAGGTCCAGCTTTGCTCACTCTTCTCTTTCTTCTTCTTCGTTTCCTGACCACTCATAAAAACATGTTTTATTCAACTACATTTAAGCCGCGAGAGGAAGAGCGGGGCAAAATGAACCTTCCGCTGGGCGCCCTAACTCACACCTGTAACCGTGGCTACTCCGGAGGCTGAGGCCTGAGGATTGTGGCTGGAGGCCAGCCTGGGTAGGAAAGTCCATGAGACTCTTAGCGCCATTGAACCACCAGAACACCAGCAGTGGAGCTGTGGTTCAAGCTGTAGAGCGCCAGCCTTGAGCAAAAAGAGCCCAGGGACAGCGCCCAGGCCCACAACTGACAAAAGAAACAAATAAAAATAAATGAGTAGCTAACAAATCCTTACAGGAGAAATCCTCTAAATTTAAAGCAAAGATTCTAACAGATCTTAAATCCCCGGCTTTATGAAACCGTACATCATATTTGCCGGCCCTTTCTTAGATGTTTGGGGCTAACGGAATCGTTTTAGATTGTAGTGTTAAGTTCACAAGAATTTAAAACAGGAAATGGAAGGTTTAATTTCTTTTCTCTCTTCTTTCCTTCCTTCGTTCTTTCTCTCATTCTTTCTTTTCCTTCCTTCCTTCCTTTCTCTCTCCCTTCCTTTATCTTTCTTTCCTTCTTTCTCTCTTTCCCTCCCTCCCTTCCTTCCTTCCTTTTGCCAGTCCTGGGGCTTGAACTCGGGGCCTGGGTGCTGTCCCTGAGCTCTTCAGCTCAAGGCTAGTGCTCTACCACTTGAGCCACAGCGCCACTTCCCGCTTTTTCTGTGTGTGTGGTCCTGAGGAATCGAACCCAGGGCTTCATGCATGCGAGGTGAGCGCTCTACCACTGAGCCACCTGCCCAGCCCCGATGATGATGATGATGATTTTTTTCCCAAAGAGGAGTCCAGGCTGTCAGAGGGGAGAAACTCATCTTTCACACCCGGGTTGTGAGTTCTTGCAGGAATACTTCCACGCTATCCACCCTGGTGGCTTGCAGGACTCTGGGACTCTGGCGTCTGCCCTTGGCCTTTGCTGGCGGTGCGTCCAGCCCGCGTCCAGCCTGGTGTTTCTGACTGGCAAACCAGGAAGGATCATCACCACTTTTCACATTTCCGTGATGCTTTGAGCAGCAGCGTTGCAATGTGATTACAGGGATAAAAGCGCTCGGCAAACCATTTTCTTACTCTTACTATCTGCCTTAGCAGCAACGGGCCGGGGTATTTCCTTGGCATTTTTGGCACTGCCAGGAATTGACGTGAGAAAGGAAAAAAACACCACAGGAGCAGAAAGGTAAAAATCAATTCCCGAGGACCATAAAATAATAATAATAACAGAAATCAATCTGTGCAATCTGGGATTGAGAGAAATGCAATCTAGACTGGCCAATGAATTGTACTTTGTCATCATTGGATCTCAACCATCATTCTGAGAACTGGAAATTCACTGCGAAATAAATACTGAATTTGCAGTTCAGTAA